CATCCTGCTGGTGCAGATGGAGGTGTGAGTGGATGTGGGAGTGCTGGTGATGATGGGGGGTCACGTTGAGCATCTGCAGCCGGGCCAGGGGGTCGTTGCTCAGGGCGGCCACCCTCTCGGCGTGCTGCCTCTCGGCGGCTAACCGCTCGGCGTAAGACATGTCGGGGCGCAGGGCCGGGCCGGCTGCCAGCGCAAGCCGCTCCCGCTCCAGGTGGCCCAACCCTGGGTGGAAGGGGAAAGCGGGGTGCAGGCCGGGGCCCGCCTGCAGAGCCAGCCCCCCGTGTCGCGGGAAGGGATCCATGGTGGCGCTGGGCACGGCGTGGAGCTGCTCCAGCTCGGCCGGCTTGACTTCGAAGCCGGGCTTAAGGCGCTCGCGTAGGTCGCGGTCCCTGAGGTCTCGCTCGCGGGCCTCCCGCTCTCGCAGCTCTCTCTCCCGCGTGGCTGGGTCGCTGCTGTAGATGGCCGGCACGTTGTAGCCCAGCAGTCCCGGGTCAACCGCCCCCAGCGGCACGTAGAAGGGGTGGTTGCGGTTGCTCGGAGACATGACGTGGGGCCGCGCGTACTCGCTGAGGGTGCGGAGGGCCGGCGTGTCGGGACCCAGGTAGGGCGGGACAGTAGCTACTGCGCTGCCCTGTTCGAACGACGGGCGGTGAGCGATGGGGCCGAGGGATGGGCATTCCACCGGCCGGCCCTCTTGGGCCACTTTCTGCAAGAGATGGGGAAGGCCATGTTCAGCGGGGGAGGTTCCAGCAGCGAGAGACACAGCCTGCAAGTACAGTCTATTATTTACTTATTTATTCAATTAGATCTGCTAGGCCTGCCCTTCCCCGCAAGCAGGGCTCAGGGCGGCTTACAACAAAAACCAGACACAATAAATAATAACAGTTAAAACCAACGTTAAAATGCCTATAACGTATCAGGACAGAAAAACGATACACATCCCAAGATGGTGGAGAGATTTTAAATTCCACAAGCCACCTGGGGGGAGGAAGGTTGTGGAGGGTAGGGTATGCGTGAGAGTGCCAGGTTTTATACTGTCCCATCGCTGTCCTCAACCAAATGCCTGGCGGAACATCTCCGGCTTGCATGCCCTGAAGGAGGATAGTAAATCCAGCAGGGCATGGATATTCTCAGGCACAGAGTTCCACCAGGTAGGGTCTGGGGCCGAAAAAGCCCTGGCCCTAGACCAGTGATGGCGAACCTTTTAGAGACCGAGTGCCCAAACTGCGACCCAAAACCCACTTATTTATCGCAAAGTGCCAACACGGCAATTTAACCTGAATACTGAGGTTTTACTTTATAGAAAAAACAACTCATACATTAACTTAAGATGATCCAAACAAAGTAAGGAAAGCAATCCCAAATGCTTTCATTTACTTAAAATTATTTGGCAGAGAATTCGACACTTTAATGATGGTCTGGGCCTGGCTGGGGCGATGGCACGCGTGCCCACAGAGAGGGCTCTGAGTGCCACCTCTGGCACCCGTGCCATAGGTTCGCCACCACTGCCCTAGACGAAGACAACGAAGAGATTAGATTTATACCTTCCCCTTCCTCTCCCCACAACAGACACCTTGTGAGGCAGGTGAGGCTGAGAGAGCTTTCTTGAGAACTGCCCTTGAGAGAACAGCTCTGACAGAACTTGTGACTGACCCAGGGTCATGCCAGCAGCTGGATGTGGAGGAGTGGGGGCACCAAACCCGGTTCTCCCAGATTAGAGTCCGCGCTCTTAACCACTACACCAAAATGGCTCCCGTTGAGGACAGCCAGAACTCTCTTGGGCCGGGGACCACCCGAAAGTTCTTATTCCCAGAGTGTAATGCTCTTCCGGGGCCATACTGAGAGAGGCGGTCCCGAAGGTCTACAAGAGGGGGACAGCAAGGACTTGTGGGGAAGGGGAATCCCATTTCCCTGGCCCCTGCTCCTTCCCCAGCTCCATTCCTCCTGGCCATGCAGGCTGTCGTTCTGCTTCCCTCTGAATTCACCTCCACTTCCTCATCCCAGTGTTTATGGTCACTGTTGCTATGTCAGGACCATGCCGGGTTGCTACAGCAACCTCAAATGCCTTTAATGCCCTGATCCCCCCTTTAAAAAAAATAGATTCTTCCGCATACTTTGCATAACCCTAACAGAAGCTGTGGGTGGTTCCATTGCGCAGATCCATATGGGGGTCGGCCCTTGGCTGTTTGATATAAAGGCGATATCCATACATGGGAGTCAGAACTGTAGTCGACACCTGTGCTCTGCGTTCAGATTGGCAGTGCCTTCCTGAAGTCTCTTGCAGAGGTCCTTTCTGGTTCTGCTACCCTGAGATCCTTTTAAATGAAGACGCCAGGAATTGAAAACAGGACCTTCTGTGTGTGCGCTACCTACCGCTGGGCCGCTGTGTCCGCTCCCTTCTCAAAGCGCCGGGGCACTTACCACGCTCCTTTCCAGCTCCCTTTCCTTCTCCCTCTCCCGCTCTTTCTCCCGTTCGCGCTCTCTCTCGCGCTCCTTCTCTTCCCGGGCCTTCTGTTCCGCCTCTCGGCGCACCTTCTCCACCAAGTCCGCCCGCTTCTTGGCCAGTTTCGAGCCATCCAGGGGCACGAAGTAGAGGTCCGTCCGTGAGCAGGAGTTGAAGCCACGGTCCAGGTGTTTGTTGAACCTGCGGGAGGAGGGACAAAGCCATCAGCCTTTGACTTAGGCGGGGAAGGGAGAGGAGAGCCAGAAAGGAGGAGGCCAGAGGAGAGATGTGCCTTCAGTGTAGGAGGCTGCATGCAGTTGTGCCCTCCACTAAGAAGCCCCACTCCTCGGGCACCTGACCTCCCAGAGAACTGGGAAGTGTGTATACTCTGCACCAGGGGTCATTTCCTGCAGGACAACCGTAATGGCAGGAGATATCCAGATACCGCTTGGAGGCTGGCAACCCTATTTATATCCTGTGTTTGACTCTGATTGGGGACTCAGATCAGCTTTTCACATGGCTCTCACCTCGTCCTCTGAATCCTCACAGCAACACCTTTGTGAGGGTAGGTTAGCCTGAGAGCAGGTGACGGGCCCAAGATCACCTGGCAGGCTTCCATGGGTGAGTGAGGGATTTGAACCCGATCATCCCAAGGCCTAGCCTGAGGCTCTAACCACTACACCACAACAGCCCTTCATAAGAAGGCAGCTCTTGTTGATTTTCAGTTTTCTGGACAATGAGTGCAAAGGTACTGGGATAGCTGGCAAGCATGAAGCCCACCAATTTTTACATTTCATGACACCAGACTTTGTTTTATCAATATTAAGTGCAGTTGTCTGGCTTCAACTATACTGGAGTCTGGCGACAAAATTCTTTGCTCTTCAAGCGTTATCTTCTCCTCCATGGGGACTAGAAACATGATTTTAAAATATGTAAGAAGGAAGGAGAGTAGGTTTTTATACCCCACCTCACTCTGCCTTAAGGAGTCTCAAGGTGGTTTACAATCGCCTTTCCCTTCTTCTCCCCACAACAGGCACCTTGTAAGGTAGGTGGGGCTGAGAGAGTTCGGAGAGAACTGTGACTGGTCCAAGGTGACACCCAGCACGCTTCATGCAGAGAAGAGGGGAGTCAAACCTGGTTTCCCAGATTAGAGTCTGCCACTCTCAGCCATTACGCCAGCTAAGATTTTTCGGGCAGCCGAAATGTTCACTCAGTATCTCATCCTGTGGGCTGGTCTGCACTTTCACCAAACCACACCACATACGCAGCCCATGGACAGCTTTACCTACATCCACCGAACAGGATGCCGTTCTGTCCTTAAATCCTGGGTTCTTGTTGTTTTTAAAGCCCGTAAACGGACCACTGACATTTCAGAGTAACACGAAGAGAAGCCTGGAGCGATTGCGAGAGGCACAGCAGGCTTACGAGGCTCTGTACCCTCGCTGTGTTAACACCGCCTGTGGGCAGTCTTGGTTTGCTGCTTAATACAGGAAGCTTCAATGGACAATAGGCTGGGGGGTGCAGGAGAGGGTGTCCCCCACCAAGGCTAGTGGGGGAACTATAGGAAGGCTCTCTGGACTCGGGGCTGGTTGCTTTCGTTTGACGAGCTCACGCAGAAAATCTTCCAGCCTAACCCAGTCCTAGAGAACTTTGGCACACGGAGGTGGACACAGCCCACCAGAAAGATAAGGTGGTGACATCAGAAGCTCAACAGAGTTCTTTTTGCTATGTGCCTGGTGCTGCAAAAAACAACAACAAACCCAAACACCTGACATGTCACAGTCAGTGTCCCCTCTAAGCTGAGTTAGTGTGAGCTAGATGACAGTTTTTTAGCCTCCGGCTCACCCATTTTTGCCTTCACTCAGGAAGGAGGGCTCCAGAGCAAACTAATTGATGCAGCAGCCAAATCGTTCGCTCACAACTTTAATGCCAGTAGCTCACAAAGAAGACGTTTTGCTCACAAGACTCCACAGCTTAGAGGGGGCATTGGTCACAGTCCACGGGTGGTAAGTTTGGCTTGGTGGGTCACCCAGGCACATGGGCCTGATCCAATGACATTCCTTCCCCAGTCACATTCCCCACCCCATCCTTCTCTCTCACCTGGCTGACTGGCTGGCATGACTTGGTACGTCCACCACTTTGGGCGCTGGTGAGGGACTCCGGAGGGGGGGCATCGGGCTCTCTGGGGGCTCGTAGTCCTCCGAAGGCTCTTGCTTGATCTGTGCCGCACTGAGAGGCAAGGGGGGCAGAGGCGGGGGCGGGCGAAGCGGTCCGCTTCCCATAGGGGGCCACGGGCGGGGGCCCGACCGGAGGCGACGCTGCCTTGTAGGGGGCCGCCGAGGAGGAGGCCATGGTGGTTATGACGGTGGAGAGAGTGACTGAGGTGGAGGTGACGGGGGGCCCAGCCCCGTGTGCGGGTGACGGAGGAGGGGGCGGAGGGAAGGCATAGGTGGCAGCGTTCTGCCCTTGGGGGTGGCTGCAGACTCCGGGGTACGTCCCCTGGGAGGAAGAGGAGGAGGAGGAGGAGGAGGAGGAAGAAGAGGAGGAGGAAGAAGAGGAGGAGGAGGAGGAGGAAGAAGAAGATGCAGAGGGGGCCTGACTGTACGTGCCGTGGCCGTGGGGCGGGTAGAGACGCAGCCCGTATGCGGCGTGGGAGGGGTGATGCGGACCGGGCTCCAGTGGATGGGGGTATCCGACGGAGGCCTGGGACGGGGCGGCTGCTGCTGCGGGAGACAGCCCTGCACTGCCGCCGTGGTTGTGGTGGTGCGGTGGCTGCTGCTGCTGCTGCTGCGGGTGATGGGCAGCCTGGCCGGGGAAGGCGGAAGGGGGGTGGGAGCCGGCGTTCCCCAGAGGGCGGCTGTACGGGGGCGGGCCCTGACTCCACACAGGCTGCGAGGGCATGGAGGGCTGGGTGTATTTGGGCGGCTGGCTGGAGAGGGAGAGGCTGCTGGGCGGGGGGAACGAGTGGCCGTACGAGGAGCTGTAGCTGGGCAGCGCCTGGGACGGCGGAGGGAGGGGGTACTGGGCGGAAGAGCTGGGTGGAGGCGGCGGAGGGGGAGCATAGGGGTAGCGTGAAGGGGCGGGCGACTTATCCTGCCCCATGCCATGGGGCGACGGGAGGTGGCCACTCAACGCTTGCCCCACCATCCCTGGGGAGCTGGAGGCGGCAGCCATGTTGTTCAGAGGCCTCAGGGCAGGCGGGGGCGGCAAGTTAGCTAAGACGTGAGGAAAAGCGGCGGCGGAAGACGGAGGCGCAGAGGGGGGGTTGTTTGGGGGTGTCTTCTGAGGAGGGACGCCACCTGCCACAGAGGAGAGGGAAATGGGTGTGGTCGGGGGCGGGTTGTGCTTGGAACTGAGGGATGGCTCACGCCCAGCCGGGGCCAGGATGCCCGCTCCTGCACTTGCAGCTTTGGGGCCCATCTGGACCACGTTAGCACTCGGATAAAGAGGAACATGGGTGCTGGAGGAGGAGGAGGAGGAGGAAGAGGAGGAGGAAGGAGACGAGGAAGAGTTGGTGGAGGTGACGGCAGCGGGTGGCGCCTGGGCCTGGAAGATCCTTGAGGCCTGGGCTTCCAGTTGGGACTGATAGCCGCCTGAGGAGCCGGGAGGATGAACCTCCCCTGTTAAGCTGAAGTTTGGTTCAGGTGGACGAGCCAGGCCCTCGGTCAGGGGGGCTGGGGAGGGGCTCTGGGGAAAGAGCGGGGGGTGATGATAAGATCGGGAGGGCCCCTGCGACAGCACAGAGGAGGAATCCGAATCGTTCTCCACACTGCCGGGGCTGTAGACGCTGGGAGAAGTGCTCCGGTTATCCTGGTCGATGTCACGCGGGTCGCTGCTCGTTTCGTCGTTGAAGCTGTGGCCGTCTAGGCTGTCGACGTCGGAGGGAGACTGGGGCCGCGGCAGATCCTGGATTGAACAGAAAGGCATCGAGCGGGGGGGGACCATTAAAAGGGACTCTCTTAGGGAGAATTCTGGTGCGAGGCAAAAAAAAAAAAAAAGGAGAGTCTTTGCCTTCTACTGAGTCGGACCCCACTGATCCATCTAGGCGGGTATTGTCTAATCTAAGTAGCAGTGGCTGTTTGTTCGAGGCAAACCTTTCCCAATACTTAACCTGAGACCCTTTAAAACAGGCGCCAAAGACGGGACCTGGGACTTTCTGCCTGTGCAACGTACACCTTAACACTGAGCGATGGGCTCTTCCCAGTCCCAGGAGTCCGTAGGGACAACAAGAGGGGTGTTGCTCGTGCAAGGGGGTCACCCTGACCTGAACGAGTCTGGCATGGCCCGGAAGTAGCATTCTAACCAGCCAGCTAGCTTGATAGAGCCTAGAGGAGCTCTAGGCTGGAGGAGGTAAGGAGAAAAAGAAGAAGAGGAGGAGATTGGATTTATACCCCACTCAGAGTCTCAGAGCGGCTTACAATCTCCTGCCCTTCCTCTCCCCACAACAGACTATTGAGATATATGTCAGAGTGATAGAGGTAGCAAGCAGTTACTATAGATCAGTTTGAACTGTTTGTCAGACCTAGCTGTCATGCTAGTAATCATGTAATTACAGCCAGGTGTTTCTAGCAGGTGTTGCTCTTTCAGGGCTTGTTAGAGCTAGTGATTACATCGCCTTGTTAGAGATTGGCTGGGCTTTAGCATAATAGCTGGATGGGGACTCAGTTCTCATAGACTAAGGCATGACATGCTGTTCAATAGCCTGTAAATATCTCTGTATATATTCACCTTTATAACTATATAAACTCTCTGTGCACCTTCATAACTGGTCAGTCTCCTGCTTCTTATTTACAACACCCAATACAGACACCCTGTGAGGTAGGTGGGGCTGAGGGAGCTCAGAGAATTGCCCTTGAGAACAGCTCGGAGAGAACTTGTGACTGACCCAAGGTTCCCCAGCTGGCCGCACGTGGAGGAGTGGGGAAGCAAACCTGGTTCTCCAGATCAGAGTCTGCCAACTCTTAGCCATCACCCCAAATTGGCAGGCGCAACCACAACACTGCGTGGGGCACAGCAGAGGGAGCACACCTGCAAAGAACCCACCTCTGTTTTAGTTTTCTTTGGGGCATTGGCGTCCTCTCCTTCGCTCTCTGAAATCTCCTCCGGCCGGCCCTGCTTGTTTCCTTTGGGGGCCATCGATTCCTCCACGCGGCCCTTCTGCGAGAGAGAAAAGGGGTCACGCTCCCAAGGGCTCCCATTCCTCCGGCTTTCCACCTCTTACTAGCTGTAGGGGTTGTGAGGGGGCACAGCACGCAAGTCAGACTAAACCTGAAGCAAAACCGTCTCCCAAGTTTTTGGGGAAACACTTTTGGTAGAGCCAAAACACGCCTCCCCTTGTGCGGGGGGGGGGGGGGGATAATTCACGCAATCCAAGTTTTTGGGGAAACACTTTTGGTAGAGCCAAAACACGCCTCCCCTTGTGCGGGGGGGAATTCACGCAATTGTTTTGCATTGTTCCCACATTCCGCTGTCCTCACTTGCCCTCAGTAAGGCCGCCAAACAGACAAAAATCTGATTGGCTGCCTAGCGCCACGAAGTCATCATGTTGACCATATGATCTACGCAGGGCTTTTTTTGTAGAAAAAGCCCAGCAGGAACTCATTAGCATAATAGGCCACACCCAACAGCAAAAACCCATTAGCATATTAAGCCACACCCCTGACATCACAGCTAATTAACATATTAGACCACACCCCCATGTTACCACACTCACCTTTTGCTTCTTATTCTGTTTACTCTGTTGTCAAAACCCTGGGCTTTTTTTGTAGCGGGAACTTCTTTGCATGTTAGACCACACACCCCTAATGTAGCCAATCCTAATGAGTTTCTGCTGTTAGGTGTGGCCTATTATGCTAATGAGTTCCTGCTGGGCGTGGCCAACTCAGGAGCCAGCCGGAACTCTGTTCCTGTGCGTTCCTGCCCCAAAATAGCCCTGGATCTATGACTGAGTAGGATCTCTCAGGAAACAAAAGCAGGCGGGCAGAAACAGCAGCAGACCGGGGTGGGGTGGGGTGTCGCTGAAGAGGAGCACAGAAACGTTAATATTCACATCATCTAAACGTTTTCCAGGAGAAATTCCTACCCCGCTGAAACGGCTGGGTTTTTTTAACCTGAAGAAAGGGACTGGAAAACATTTGGTGCCGCTCTGTGTTGTCTCGTGCACTGCCTATAATCACAGGCAACGGCGAGCAGCGGTCTGCGGCACAGAAAACGAGGAGACTGCCACCAGGACAAAATGCTGGACGAAAGGCAAGACGATGACCTACCTTGGTGGTCTGTCGGGATTTCTCTGCTTTGCCATCGCTGCTGGAGGTGCTGACGCCACCCGGAGAGGCCCGGCCCCTTGTCCTGAGCTCCTCTCGGGGCCCCGGAGTCTCCTTCTTCCGACCACTCCGCATTGACATCTGGTTGGGGGGACAAGCACGCAGACAATGATTCCACTTGCTCGGGAAACTCTCTCCCCCCCCCCGACCTGGATAGCCCAGGCAAGCCTGATCTCGTCAGATCTCGGAAGCTAAGCTGGGTCAGCTCTGGTCAGCACTTGGAAGGGAGACCTCCGAGGAATACTAGGGGCACGCCGCGGAGTCAGGCAATGGCCAAACCACCTCTGAACAACCCTTACCTTGAAAACCCTACAAGGTCACCACAAGTCAGCTGTGACATGACGGCACTTTCCACCACCACAGAAACTCTTTC